ACTGCTGGTCAAGCTACTTCGAATGTACGTTTCTTTTCGATTTCAACCTTGTTGTTTACCATACCGTATGTTAACATATTGTTTTATCATTACAGAACCACCAAAGACAAGAATCCGAGACGTTCTGACTATCTTCTGATATTGATATTGACCTCGGGGTGCGTAAATTAGACCAAAGGCTAGCAAAGTACCGTACGTACGAATCCCGTAACAACACCGAGAGCTATGGGTGACGTGTATACTTAGCAACTTCATCATCCCTGAAAACTTTTGAATTACTATTTCGCCACTATTTTCAATGACCCTGGGTATCGCGAACAAACTACAAGGTTTCGAAAATTACAGCTCAAAATCAGAAAATATTCGGTCCGAAGCGGCATGGAAGTTCAGAACATACAGTAATTAGCTACTTTTAATAGAGTCATCTTGTGTAGGTCACATGTAAGGGTGCAACATGTACTCTCGTCGTGGTCCTGTCCAAGTGCTGAATATCCATAAATTGTGATAACTGGGATGCAAATGTCGTCACATATGCTTTCCTGTTTGCAGTGTTTACCGGAGTAGGTACTCAGTAAAAGAAGACTAATCTAATAAAATTACCATCTGTTGAGAGCGTGAAAACTTTGACCACGGTACTTGATCATGTAGATGGCATTAGCCTTCTTGATTGGGAACTTCATGACCAATCTAATCGCTGGGCAGAGGCATTTGGTTTTATGGCCGAGGGTCGGTCATAAATGATGGTACTCTTGAATTTCCCAAATACTCTTCAGACTCCATTTACCTGAGTCCTGTCTTTATCGTGATGCTGCTCTGAAATTTCTCGTTCGTATATGCAATCCTTCATCACTGTTCGATCACATCATAAACGCCGCTCATCTGGACTGTCTTCCTTTGAAGAGATTCCCGGCTCTACCTGTTAGGCTGATTCCACGCTTTTCCGTTTACCTTTTCTTACGATTTCACTCACAGGTCCGGTGAAAGAGAATGACAAAATCGCTATTTTTTACTGTTATATTATTATTATTATTATAACATTCGTACAGTGATGTCTTTGTCGGTGTTGTAGCTTTCTTTGATTTATTTTTTCATCTCCCGTTCCGTTGATAGTTTTATTTGAATAAAAAGCGATTTTACTAAAATAGGCCAAATACCATCATGGCAGCAGGACGATTTATTCGTAGTTATCAATAGCGGTAGCAGTGGTGAATTTCATTGTAAGAACATAAAAGGAAACATGAACTGAAAGGTTGTAAACAGTGCCAATCCATCAACCTTAACTGAGAATCAAATACGGTGCCTAAAAGATAGAATGAAAGCTTACCAGTCGCTGTATAAAATCGAACTGTCTGTAACGTGCTTCCTAGCATTACAGTTCTTGCCTCATGTGCTCTCTGTGCCACTGCACAAGATCATTAATCTCACCCTCCCTAACACTGCAAATTTTGTTGTTCTTCATTCCAGTTCAACTACATGTTTGATGTCCATTGGCTCATGAATCAATATCCCAAAGCCTTCCGGTAGGTCTAACTAATCAGAAATCCTTACACTACGAACCATGTAAGGGTGTTGACACACTGTAGAGATGTAGCTTATTGTTACTTTACAACTTTCCTTGTTCGTTGTCATCATCATCATCATCATCGGACAGCGAACTATACTGAAGCGAACTTCACTGATCGCTGCCAAACTCGCAATGCATGCAAGGTTAGTGGTAAAATTGAAGGTGGGCAGGGATTGGATCTATTTTGAGGGAGTGAGAAGGTGAACATCTGTGGTCAACACACAGAGTACAAAATCGAATTACGCATACATACCGCTTCAAGCATTCTGACCTGATAAGAAACGACAACAAGAACGCCACTGCTCTCGGTTCGCTGCCGTATCCTTCAATGTCTCCGACCAACCGGTTGTGTAGTCTTTCGGACTCCAACCTCGAAGGTGAGAGACACCTACTCTATCAAAACCGGAGCACAAAAGTGCATGGTTAATGGTAATAAATACTGAACTGAACTCTACTCAATGGCTCTGTGCATTTCTCTATGCCTCGTCTCCACGTCATCCGTTGACCTCCACGTGGTTTCCTACAGCCCGGATTAGCAACAGCGAATAAAGCGCGGTGCGGCAGACGATGGCTGGGCATACGCAATACGTGCCTTAGCCAGCAAAGCCTAGTAATCGGAATTCGGTGTGATAGCAGGTTTATACCTGACAGACTCCCAAACACGACGGCTTACCTCCACGCTACTAACCCGTTCGCTCGAATCAACGTGGGTTAAACTGCGTAAACACCGATAATCGAAAACTCCCAGTCGACGGATATCTTCTACTCACAAGTTTGGGGTCTCACAACCATATACCAGGATTGAACGAACGCTAGCGCAATAAACAAAACCTTTCAAGTTCAGTCAAACGTCGCGTCTACGTCAAAGGTGCTTCAGTCCAGCGTATGTGGCTCGAGCCTAGGAAATGCGGGTGGTCATCTCCTTTGTTGCACTACCGTCATTGGTCACGCAACTACCTAAGTAGAAAAAGTAATTCACACCTAAATCCTGGCCTTTTGGTGTCACAGCAGTTCTGCAGCATCACTTTGCACTCTGAAGATGCACAGCAACATACTGAGTGTGGCTACTGCATTTGTTAATCCATCAAGTGCGCTTTGCGCGTCCTCCATACATTTGAACAGACAGACGATGTCACTGACGTACTCTAAATCGAACAGCTTTTCTCCAGTTGTCCATTCAATACCTACGTCTTGGAATCGCCTTAGTGAGCTCACCATCATTTCGTCTACAACGAAACTGAACAGGAACGGCGAAAGAGGACAATCTTGATGAACGCCGCTGCTGGTGGCGAACAGCCTACTTGCTCCGTTGTTTGTTTTCTCTGTTCTCTACTCCCGTGTTGAAAAAGTCAAAGTGGAAAAATGCTGCTGGTACAGGTGTATCAGGACTTGCGAACTGTTGGTCGTTTAATTGTGTAAGACAAAAATGCTCACTTTTTGATGGTTTAATGGTGAATCTGGGTGTCGCGATAGGTATACATGCATGTCAGGAGATCTTGTACACACTGTTTAAGTGCCCAAGTTGTGTTCATAGTTTCACGACCGCAGACATAATGAGCAGCGAAAAAGTACAGATCGTTGGCGTCGATTTCTTCTCTGTATACATGTACAGATCCTGATCAAACTTGTACAACACCTTGACTTTCTCCTTCTCCCGAAGCTTTTTCTTGAGCCTCATTCACCTAATATAATATGGCATTGCTCCATATCGGAAGTCAAATATCGTTACCGCTTTCGTCCATTTATGCCTTTTCCATTAATCTTTAAGATATCAAAACACACTTTCGTATCGAGAGCTATGAGTGGAGAGCATTAATTCTCAGCTTTATCTTCCATTGCAGTGTTATTTATTCTCTCGTATCACTTTTCTGAAAGAGCGTCACTTTGAGTATCACGATAAAATTTACAGTACTTTGAAGTTTGTAAAGGCGTAAAAGAGAGTGTTTGGGCCATAACAATCCGGAGATTCATTCTTTGCTATGTGTGTAACATTATTACACGTTATCGACAAATTCGAAAGTTGCACGGAAGTCTAAGGATACAATGACTTTTGGTCTTTGGTTGGGATGACGGTGCCCGTGCAGCTGTCGGACGGTGCGAACCTATCTGATCGATGCATCCACGACCAGCGCGAAACCCAGCCTGCTCCTCGGGTGTTCCTCGCCTGGCTTGGATCACATTGCGGATCTCCGCCTCAGACGGTGGATCTATTTTGATGAACCGTGGGACGCGTATCGGAATAGCTGAGTGAGAATCTGACGGTGGTGAGTTACTAAACTGTTTCGTAGCGCTCTGTCGAGCGCGCAACACTTCGCTGTTGATTGTGAATAAGCGAGCCATAAGCTTGATAGATCATTTTTTTCACACCCAAAGATTTCTCATTGGTAACTAGAATGAGACGGAACAGTTTACAGGAATTACAAGTCCTGCTAAGTTATGCTCGCTACCTGCCGGAAGTGACTGACGTGCGTCAATAAGGCGCAGAGACTAAGCGGAAATGAAGGTATGACATGAGTCAAAGCAAAGTAGATTATTAGTCTCACCTTGTTTCGGAGTGATACCTGACGTTTTTCTCTCTCCTCCTCTAGTCGCCGACACTCCTCGATCATGTTGACTGGTAAACCAACCCAGCGAATCTCTTTCTTTTCTTTCTGAAGTACATTTAATGCCATGAGTACGTTCAGTGCATCGTAAACACGACGACGAATATTCTTTTGGATGTAGTGGAGCTAAAATTGAAGCGTAGAAGCTGGCTGGTAACAGAAAGTGCAGGATACCAAAAGAATTCAAGCAGCCACAATCAAATAAAGGATGTGAGGGAAAGGAATGACAAAAATGGAATATTAGTTGAGTTGATGCGTCGGAAGCCTTAGTATGGTCCGGGGTGGGTGTCTAGGGTTGCGGATGGTCACCCTTCGCTTGCACCTCGCCAAATGCTTCCAAACGACCAAGCGTCTCAAATAGCCTCTGCTGAAGAAGCCCTACTCACTGCCTTCTGGCGTCGGAGGAGTTTTCCCATCAAAGGGAGAGGACGAAAAGCCGATAATCGGGGCTATAACCAGGTTGGTGGACCACTGTCAGTTCACCCAGATTCCAAACCAACCAAAAGGAGACGTACGAACCACACCCACACCTTTTCGGTTGTGGCAGGGGTCACCGGCCCGATTGGGCATTGAGGTGTATTGGGCACATTGGACGTCTGACCCCGTCCGAAGGGCATATGATCCGATGAACTGGACACCGGCTCCCAATGGACTGCGGTCCTCACACACCGCCGCGCTGCCTTGCGGGTCAGACTTTAGCTAGCCGAAGGCTCCGGTTGTAGATTCCTCAACAAAATTCACCTGCCTTGGCCTAGGCAACCTGGAAGTATTCAGCCCACTAGCCAAGCATGGAACATTTTCTTTTTCATAAAAATTATTGTACCATGATTTTCTGGGCACACAGTTTGTCCTCAGACAAGTGTGAAGTATAATAATGATGCGTTGAAATACTCCTGATATGATTACCTCCGATGAGGAACACGAATCATTGAAATAATAGGATAATTGTGATTCAGTGGAATNNNGAGTCTAGAAGAAAAGTATCGATCCAGACTCGCAATGTCGATTGAAAAGCAGATCAACCTTGTGGCGTCTGATGGGGCTTTATTGGATATCTCACCATGTATTATTTTATTGATTAATATATAACAATTCACACAAGTGAGCTTAGACTGTGCAGAGAATATGCTGCTCCACGATTGTTTGATTAAGCCAATCCATCTGCCTTATCGAAAGATACCTATAAGGCAACATGATCAGACCAATTCGATGGAATTAGTTGCCTGTTCAGAATTACGAAGTCTTTTCGATACCGGTATCTCCATCTTGTATGAAAACCTGACAAATTATCTCGATTTTTTTATGATGTATACTGTTCTCAATGAGCTAAACAGATCTTTCGTTACAGTGAGTAATGTTGTGCACTACCGAGATCAAGTACAATGATACTTGATCTTCATCCCCTTGCAACTGCCACAACAGAACAAATTCAAAGGAGCTGAATGCTATTAACATTCAAACTTCACCACTCACCGCAACAATTGTCACATTCAAGTATGCTGATTACAGTTAGCTGCGCATTGAACAACAGCCCTGTCCTCAACCACCTTCAATCGGGCAAAAGTTCCATTGCTGAATGGTCAGATGGAGTTAACCTTTCATTAAACCCAACCAAATGTATTGAAGTTTTGTTTATCATTATTCGCAGGCCATCAGCATTCTCCGGATTATCCGTTCAAAGCACTTTTGTCAACAACTTAAAGGTTGAAAGGTCACAACACTTGAAACACTTTGAGTGTTTCTTGTCCGTTGATCTTAAATGGTTTTACCATGCACAAAAAACATTTCTCAATCTCAGAAAGCCGATGTTTTTCATGTAACGCCCTTGAAATCTGAGGGTGCCGTTGTATGTATTTTCTCAACATTTTTCGTGCGTTTCGTGTCATGGGACTTATTGCTCCCCATTACCTTCAGCCGTTTGTTGTCTGAGGATTTTATATTGATCAGAAGATTTGTCAAAAGCATCTCCAGATACGGAGCGCTGGTCGAAATCATTGTTGGTCAACATCCCTAGGCACGTGACCGTTTGTTACTTAATCTTGCCTGATGCATCACGTCCTCGGGACCCAACCTTCTCACGCTCCATTTCTACTCTTGTTAACCGCAATAAATTTTTACCTTTATACACTAGCAACAAAGTTGTTCAGAATTTTGTTGCATCTTATCTTTCGCGTTTATTGGTTTCCAGAGAACGACTATCCCAGGAACTGAGACAATCTCATATAATTCATACTGCAGTTTCTACCTTTGTGACGCTTTCTCGTTCTTAAACGCGTGTACACGAAAGCGATAACTTTTCACTGATAATTCTGTCCAAATTCACTCAGTGAAATGCAGTCTCGACTTGACTGGACTTCTGATTTTCTCCCCCCAAAGTTAACCGAAACAGAAACCAAAATCGCAGTGTAAATGCAGGGTTAATTGAACAAAATGAACTGAACTGAACTATCTTAACATTGGGAGGCTTCAAGAATAATACTAACAAAATCTTGCAATACCATACCTGTTCAGATGGAATCATTGGATGTTCCGCCGCGTACTCGTGGACCAACTCATCGGCAACTTCACTGTAAGAAGTCACGCCTTTTTCTTTTACCTTATTGCAAACACACCTTGCATATCGCCGTAAACCGTTGGTTTTCAACCCCGTAGGCATACTAGAACAGGTGAAGATCAAAGTTGCAATGTGAATTAAAATTTTATCAACAATCTCATTGAAGTTTAATCGAATAACTAGGGAACTTTAGAAGTAGATATTTCATAGGATAAGGACAAACAATAATTTTTCTGTGACCTCTAAGGAAACATTCAAAAATTCAGCGAGAGCCAATGCTCAATGTTTTGTTTACCTTGATTATGCTGAAGCAAAATCTTCGACAACACGTCGAGCTCTTCAAGATACAATTTCATTATGCAATCAAAGTAGTATGCATTATCTTAAAGTTTTATGATGCGTGGCAAAAAATTATTGATGTTAAGCCATGAAACACTGAAAAGAATCTGGAAGTTCTTGAAAAGCCTAGAATCAGAACTGTGTTGTCTGATGCTTCTATATGACGCGGATAAAAGAACGGTTGCCCAGGAAGGTAACCGCGATTAAGTGAATGATGTAAGGTTATTGTTATATGCACAGCTTTTGTTTCAACAAATGAAGTTGAGTGATAGAACAAAAGACCTCAGTTTGTGATATGGAAAACAAATAAAGTCAGTTTCAGCAAAATAACAAAGCATGTATCTAACAAATAAAACTACTTACTGCTCCTGCTCATCGCCTGAATCCCGTCCCGAGGGACTTCCGGGTTGAAGATAACCCGGCATGGCACCTGGTGCAGGAAGCCCCGTGGTTAGATCATAATAACCTGAGTGTGTAGCTAGCAAACCAGGGGCTTGCACACCTTCAGCGTTCGGACCCAAAACAACACTGTTATCGATTTCTTCGGACGTTGGAAATGCCGCGGATCCCAACTGGGATATGTTCCCCGCACTGGATAAAATAATAGTGCCCTAAAAATAGATTGCGAGAATACATCAGAACACAAACACTCGGGAAACCAGGTCATCAAAATTCGTAGTTTTCCGCTTTTATAAAAAGTATATGAAAAAGAACTAGCATAAACCATGAAGTAGTGCCTAGTGGTGCCCTTCAATTACATGAATTCGATTTTTCCGATAACAGTGAAACGACAGACGTGACGGTCCTGTTGTCAATTTGTATCAGGTCAGCCTGTTTGAAGAGATGTGTACAATCCTATTGTTGATCACAGTAGTTCACTTTCTCTTAAACTTTTTGATCCACCCCATCCACCGATACACGTCTTGTGCATTTTGTGAGCTTAGCAGCGTTCAATGAAGTTTATTCTCCTGGATCTCGCTATCTTATGATGCATGAAACAACGTAAGAGAAAAAAGAATAATAAGTAATNGTAATCCCCTGAAGCAGCACACAGGAAACTGTAGTCCATGTTTCGCTGCTAACTAATTAATGTGATTTACTTATCTGTCATGTTCCTACTGATTAATCCTACTGATCAGTATTGATAGCTTCAGAAAAACAAGATTAACCGCACAGTCGAAACGTTTCTTCTCAAAAGTAGTAGGTAGGTATTATGTCTGCAGTAGCGAAATAATGCAAACTTAAGGGGTCGATGATAATTCCGTTGAATAGTAAATCGGAAGCTTGTTGTTCAACTTTTCCTTCTGAATGCATGAGTTCTGCTGCAGCTCCGTTTGCCAAACCAATCAAAATTCAAGTACTCGGAGTTTGGTAAAGTATGACCTTTAGTACGAAAACAAAACCACGGAGAACAATCAAAACATACCGGTCGCATGGTGGTGACCCCAGGGACTCCGCTTATTATGGTACCACCAGATCCAACTTGTGCAGGAGACCGTATAGTTAAAACTCTCGGAAGAGAAGTGCCCACCACGGGTGATCCGGAAACAGGCACAGCACCGGAAGAGACAACTTTCATGCTCCGTTGAAGCATATGCATAGGAATAACTGAAAAGAATGGGTCGTTGGAATGCATTGTATAAACACAAAGAACTCAAAATAGTACAATGAACCCCACATCATACTCGTGTTGGTGTAATCAATGAATAAACCAGTCTCAGTGAGCTTAAGTTCCGTCACGAAGACCACTGCCCGAATCCTGGGGTTTGAAGAAAAACCACATGAAACCCTCATGTCATATCGCGCAATATATTTAAACAAGCAAAATGAAAGTCTTAATGCAGACTGATGTAGAGTGTGGAATTGTACTATTCATCACTTGTGCTGTTCTTCTTTCAATGAACAGTTGATAACAGTACAGGGGGAAACCACATAGTTAAACGATATACTGTAAAAGGGGGAGTCGAGGAAAATTTGATGTAACATCTAGCTCATTGCTGTACGGAACGAGTGG